GACCTGGGGTCAACTTGGCATTGTCCCTTTCTCAAATGAGAACTGTCCTGGGTGGAAATCCTTCCATTAATTCTCTCAGTGCATAAGGCCATCCACCTGGGTCTGCACAAAATGTGTCCTTTTCTACACAGGGCACACTAAAATTCTCCCTCGAGCATAAACGATCACCTTAGAGGTCCAGGCCATTTCCTCCCTTATCCCAAAAGGAATCTGAAATTTCCCCCATAGATGCTTGCTACTGCCAGGGCAAACTAAATGGAATTGTAAACTCACCCATCAGGACAAGTAGACTTAGTTAAAGAAGTGGCAAAGAATCTCAGCTTCACTTCAGAAGTTTATGGCATTTTGCTTTCACCAAAGGTAAGCGGTAGAAATCGGTTTAAATGCAAAAAGAACAATATGAACTTCTCTACTGGACAGAGCAATCTAGTGATTCCGAATTTATCACAGACAACTTAATACCTGTATTTATACAGGACACAATAATATAGAACATATTAGTATACCTATCCTTGTTTGTCATTCAGTTGTGTCTGATTCTTTGTGACCTCCTGGACCATAGTACACCAGGCCCTTCTACCTTCCACTATCTCTCAAAGTCTGTCCAAGTTGATGTTTGTCGTTTCCATGATATTATCTGTCTATCTCGTCCCCTGCCATCCTCTTTTCCTTTTGCCTTCGGTCTTTCCCAATATCAGAGTCTTTTCCAGTGAGTCTTGTCTTCTAATTATGTGGCCAAAGTATTTCAGCTTTAGCTTTGGTTTTTGACCTTCCAGTGAATAGCCTGAATTAATTTCTTCTTTAAGTATTGACTGCTCTGATCTCCTTGCTGTCCAAAAGTCTTCTCCAGCACTACAATTTGAAAGTGTTGATTCTTTGGTGCTCAGCTTTCCTTATAATCCAACTCTCACAGTCATACATTCCTATTGGAAAAACCATTGCTTTGGCTATATGGATCTTTGTCAGCAAGGTGATGTTGCTGCTTTTTAGTATACTGTCCAGATTTTCCATAGCTTTCCTTCCAAGGAGCAAGTGTCTTTTAATTTCATGGCTGCAGTTGCCATCTGCTGTGATCTTTGAGCCCAAGCATATAATATCTGATGCTCTTTCCATTTCTTCTCCCTCTATTTGCCAGGAAGTGATGGGACTAGTTGCCAAGACCTGAGTTTTTTTTTTTTTTAATATTAAAATTTAAGTCAACTTTTATACATTCCTCTTTTATCCAGTATTCATTCAGAATTCAATAATACAAAAAGTATCAGAGCTTAAACAGTCCAAGTAATCAACAAATGAAAAATTTAGAAAATTACACCAGTGAACTTGTGAGGGAACACTCACCAGGGGGGAAAAATCAACTGTATATTTATAGCCTAGAAAAAATTGCCAAATTTCTCTTGGATTAAACAGTCTAGGGTATCTCAGAAATCAAAAGTACCAAGCATAGAATCTCTCTAGGAATTCCTGCAAAAGCAAAGGACCCAATTTATCCCAGAAGAGGCTTTACCAGCCTTACCCTCACTGCCTGAAGGCCAGGTAGGTTAGATTTCACTCTTCCCCCAGGGTTCTCTGGTTCCATTAAGGGGATTGAGGTTGTCTAAGCTCTCTGCAAATAGCTTCAGCCCCTTCTGATAGTGTTCCTTCAAGTGTAGTTGGGCTCCCTAGCACCTGAGTTCAATTTAACCCCAATAATCATGTTGGCTTTGACAAAGGAATATTTACATACTATCTTTGACAAAGGAGTAAGATCACCATGGCTTGAAACCCCATTGCTATGGGGACACTCCCCCTTACATGGGAGGAATCGTCCTTTCTCCTTGTACCACCTCAGTCTCTGGTGAGAAGAGGATTATTAGTTTCATAGTTTAGTTCAGTTCCTATAGAGCACAGTCCCAGTTCCCAGTCCAAAATCCCCCTAGGGTTTGAGTCTCAGGCATTGGTTTCTCAGGGCTTCCATGGCAGGCTGGCTGGCTGCACCATCCCACTTGCAATCTTGGCTTAGACAATCATGACTCTTCTGTTCCCCCTGGGGATCACCTAGTACATGAAACTGAGGAGGACAAACAACATCGAACAGCAATAAACATCCCCCGCCCCCAGCCCCAGTCTATTTCTCAGAGTTACAGTGAAAGAGAGGCAGCAGAAAAGAAAAGTCCTTCTCCTCTCACTGATTCAGTTTATGGAGTCCTTGCTTTCGGTGAACTGGGATCTTCACCCTCTGGATGCAGCAGAAAAGAAAGCCTGGTATCAAAGAATTTACCTTGTCTTTCAAAAGGGTCAGGACCCTGCCAACCAGCTTCCATGGCCTTTATGGTGTGTCCCTTCCCATGCCAGGACAAGATCCCTTATGTCTTCTGTACCCCAGAGCTTTCTTCAGCAGGCTCCCATATAAAGTGGACCTCACAGGATACATCACCATGTGCCCAGAACTTGAACAGTCTTATCTCATTCTTCCTTTAGGAGGGACTGCCCCTCAATGGTCCTTATACTCTCCTCATCCCAGTGTTTCAGAAGCCTTCCCACTGCTGCTGTGTAAACCTCATTCCTCATCTCTAATTGATCTCCAATTGCCCATTCCCTTAACTTTCATCTATCAAAACCTTACCCTAGTCCTCCCATGTCCCACTTTAGATCTGCCTGTCTTTTCCACTGTGTCCTCCAGAACCCCTGCTTCATAATTAACAAATTTCCTTTCTTATTAAATCTCTTCCTTTCTCATCTTCTTCCTTCCATCTTCTGACACTCAGAACTGAGAGTTTGCTGATGATCCTGCTTTCCCCACCACCATTTCTCAATAATGGTTGTACTTTCCCTCATATCCCACAATTTGATGGGATGTGTACCTATGGGAGAGATGTTGTGAAGGTAGAATTGATGAGACTTGGCAACAGATTGATTGTAGGCAGTAAGAAAGTGAAAAGTCGAGGATGACACTGAGTTTTCAAGCTTGGATCAGTCTGGAAGCTGGTGATACCCTTGGCAGGAATAGGAGAATTAGGAAGAGGGGAGGAGATAATGAATTTGGTTTTAGATATGATACATTGGCGTAATGGATAGAGCACTGGGCTTGGAATCAGGAGGACATCTTCATGAGGTCAAATCTGGCTTCAGACAGCTATGTGATCTTGGACAAGTCCCTTAACCTTGTTTGTCTCAGTTCCTCATCTATAAAATGATCTGGAGAAGGAAATAGCAAATCATTCCAGTATCTTTTGCCAAGAAAACCCCAAAATGGGATCACAGAGAATGGGACACTACTGAACAACAACAACATTTAAGATATTTTGGGGACCTTCAGTTTAAGATATCTATGAGGCATTTGGAAGTGACTTTGCAGTAGCCCAGGCTTACCACATCAGCAATGTCTTTAACTACTCCTGCTCCCTCGCACTAGATCCTGAATCTTGCAGTTTATACTTCTATGACATCTCCTGAATACATCCTCTTCTCTCTATTCATATATCCACTCTGTTCTGCATCATCTTTTTGTTGGACAGTAATCCTGATTTGTCTCCCTACCCATCTCCCCTCTCCCTTCTCCAGGATCTGCCTCTGCCTTTACACAGGCTAGCCCCTGGATTCGGAGGTCACCACCTTCCCTTTTGGTTTCATGGACTCCCTTACTTCTCTCAAGACTCAGCTCAACACCAACTTCTACGGGAAACCTTTCTTGATTTCCACCCCTTTCCCAGTGCCCTTTCTCCCCAGATGCCTTGTATAGGTTTGTGTGCATATGTTGTCTTCCTCGATAGAGGGTCAGCTCCTTGAGATTAAGGAAAATTTCACTTTTTGTCATTATATCCCTATCACCTAGTTCAGTACCTGGCATGTAGAAGGCACTTAATAAATGCTTGTTATCTCATTTGATCCTTTCAGGACAATTCTGAGAGGTAGGTGCTTTATCCATTTTGCAGATGGAGAAACTGAGGCTGAAAAAAGTTAAGTAACTTGCCATGGTTTTAATCTTTGTTACAAGTGAAGGCTTATTGGATAGGAAAGAGAGAAGTTGTAGACTGAAAATCAATGTGATATAAACACAGAATGCATCCTTAACACTTGTGTTATTATTGCTGATGTTGTTTTAGAAAAGACTGCTAAGGGATATTCTCAACATTGCCGTCTTCTTAAATCACACAAGGGCACTGGGAAGTCTTCAGAGCAGCATAGGAGAATCACTAATCACCAGTAGTTCCCATACTCCATTAGCCCTTGGATAAACTCTTTTCAATTTTGAAAAATATTTATTAAGTGCCTGCTTTGTGCCAGACATTGTGCCAAGGGTTGGGGATACAAAGATGAAAATTACATAGCCAGTTGCAGTCCTTGGCTTCATAGTGCTTACATTCCAACTTGGGTACAACAAGGATACAACCCATACACGAATAAGTATAATACAACATAGAGCATGATTAGGATAAAGGAGACATACTAGACAATGTGTTCTGCAAAAATGTGAAGTTACCTTCAGCTGGGAGAATCAGGAATGGCTTTACAGAGGAGGTCATACTTGAGCTGAGGAATGGAATCATTTTAATAAAGAGTAGAGTGCATTCTTGGCAAAGGAGAATAGCCTGTGAGGATACATCCAGGTGGAGGATGGCATGTTCATTGTGCAGAACTGAAGCCCAATTTAGCTCGATTATAGTATTTGAAAGGGAATAATACGAAATAAGGCTGAAAAGATAAAGGTAGGCTGAAGCCAGATTGTGGCAGACTCTAAATGCCAGATTCTAAGAAGTTTGTGTTTTCTCCTAAAGTCAATAAGAGACCATTGATTGTTTTTGAGTTTAAAAAAAAAAAGTAGCATGGTCAGACCCATCCAGACCCAGATGATTATTCTGGCAGCTGTGTAATTGTTCCCTCCCTCCACCTTGCCAACTCTGGGAATTGTCAATCCCATGCCCAGACTGGACATACTTTCAGCTTTACTCAACCTTAATCTATGTTCCTTTAGTTCTGATATTTCTTTTTGTCTTCCTCCTCCCATTCCCCTACTCCTCCAGGATCCTGCAGGGATCTTTGAGCTGGTAGAAGTGGTCGGCAATGGTACCTATGGACAAGTGTATAAGGTAAGACTCTAGAGGACTCTTCAGAAAAACTGTAAAGAAAATGGGACCTTTTCCCAAAGATTGAGAAAACTTGATGTGTAAAACACATGAATTGGGAGACCTTAGGAAAAGGAAGAAGGATGGGGATCAGAGGAAAAAAAGAGATTGGGGAAAGGATTCAGCTTTTTGCTGGCCTCCCTCCTCAGATAAGGTTAGTACAGATCCTGTACTGACATATATTAGAAACAGGTCTGGAGCTGGGCAGGCTGTGCCATGATGGAAAAGAGAGCAAATCCAGAACTAGAATTGGGGAGGAGAGGTATGTGTTCACAAGAACTGGATGGAACCTTAGAGATCATCTAACCCAATCCTCTTATTTTATATATAAGGAAACTCTGAGGCCCAGAGAGGAAACAATTATTGTGTTTGGAAGTGAAGATGAGGAAGTGTGTGTGTGTGTGTGTGTGTGTGTGTGTGTGCTCATGGATACTCAGGATTTGTGTTGGGTTTGATTCTCTACATAAGTTACTTTAATTCCTCCCACAGAAACAGTGTTTTTATAGACTGATATCTCCATTATTCATATAAGAATGGACACAAGAGAGACCAATGAGAGTAGATAGCTCACTATAAACACATTTTCACTAAGAAGAATAACTTGAATCAAACATTCTGCTTTCCTAACATAAAAGGTAACATATCAGTTTAATTGAGGAATAACAAGGTATAGTAGAAAGCTGTTATGGTTGTTGTTTGTCCTTTGTTCTCAAAGGGGACCATACATCAGGGAGGTGATGACATGACATACAAGTGAATTGGAGTTAAACGGGGCAGGACTGTGTAAAGTCACCAGCCTCACTGTCTCCTGCAGAGCCATCTGGGTCCAGTGGCAAGATATAGATTAGATAGACATGGCCCTGGATGAAATAGGAGACCTTGGCCTTTTTAAGCTAAAGTCTTTAACAGGTCTTATTTTGACTGAGGCAACACCCATTCAGTGATTTAGGCTAGGTAAGAAATGAGGCAGAGAATGGCCTCTTTCACCTAGTCAAAAAAAAAAAATCAATCTAGGAGAGGAAGACCCTCAGAATTTCTGGCCAAAACAGAAACAATTGCTATTTACATTCACTCTGAGCCAATGTCAGGGTCCAAACAGTGACCAAGTGGGGCTTGGCCTGGGACCCATTGTTGGTCAGTCAATGAGAGCCAGAGTGATTTGGGTTTAAAGCATGATCCTTCAGGAAAAAAAAAAATCTAGTCCATATTGTGGACTTGAACTCAGAAGACATGATTTTGAGTTCTGACTCTACCGTTTACTAGTTGTGTGTCACCTAGAAGATGTTTTCGTTTTCACCTCTCTGAGTTTTAGTTTTCACATTCATCAAACTGGGGGTGCCACCAGTTGTGCCTATAGTGACTGTGATGTCATATGGGGAAGGAGGTTCTGAATCTGAGAGTGTGCGTTTTTGGATCATTTGGGACCACCTACATTTCTCCTGTACCTCTCTTCCCATACACATATATCATATTTTCCTTGTAGATTTAAGGAGGTGTGCACACACCCCTTCCCAAAAGTTCTTTGTTGTTGCTATGGAAATAGAATTTCTATATTCTCCCTGCTACTGTGTGCTAGGGTCTTAAATCATTGCTGAGAGTAAAAATAACCTGTAGGACTAGTAGTTCTTGTGTCTATGCCTGTGAGGACTGTCTTACTCTGCTTTCCTCTTTAGGAAACTTCAGACACTGAGTTTTCCCTGTAAGAGCTTTGGAAGGTTTACTTCAGAATGCTTGGCTGGTGGCAAGGCAAGGGGAGCAGAAAGAATGGTGGGACCCAGTCTATAAAGACAGTAGTGTCTTTCCTTGGTATCTTTATCTATATCCCTTTTGTCATTTCTAGAGCATTTCAGCTCTGCCTTTTTTTCTTTTCCCCACCTCAACAACAAAAACTTGGAAAGATGTCTCACAAACTAGGGTAGAGAGAGGGATGCAGGAAACGAGTCAAGGCTTTATACACGGTCTTGCTGCAGTGGGATAGAAAGCATTTGGACAGCAACAGAAGAGGGTGAGGCAGGATGCCCTTTCCCTCCCCTGCATATTGTCCCAGTCAGCTTCCTACATCTTGAGGCATAGGGTCTTGTTTATTCCCCTACCCCAGACATCACATTATTCCAAAAGGTAAATATCCTCGTACTTCTTTTACCTGAAGTTGAAGAAAGGAGCCTCACATCTTCCCTTTCTTGTCCCATTTATAACCAATAGTTAGATGATAATACCTTTTCTTTCAAAGCTAAGTAACCCATATGGGAATCAGCTACATAAGCTTGACTATTAGCATTGTGCTCTACCCTCTAAGTAATACCTAGATCATTCATGTTTCTTTGTCCCCCAGGGTCGACATGTGAAGACAGGGCAGCTGGCTGCCATCAAGGTCATGGATGTCACAGAGGTAAAGAGGTCAGGATAGTGGGGGGGAGGGGTCAGGGAAGGGAAATTGGAGAAAACTGCAGGATTCACCTTCTTTTACTTCAATTAGGATGAAGAGGAAGAGATCAAACAAGAAATCAATATGCTGAAAAAATATTCCCACCACCGCAACATTGCAACATACTATGGAGCCTTTGTCAAAAAAAGCCCCCCGGGAAATGATGACCAGCTCTGGGTAAGCCAAACCCCAAACCAAACTCTTCAGACCACCCTTCCAAACACACTTTTTCTATACGTAGCTAAGTGAAAGAATCTGGAGTCTATTCTTTTCTCCCCATCACTCAGCTCAGCTAGTATTTCCCTTCTCCACAACCAGATACTGTATATGGTCTGTGGAACATCCTGAAATTATATGTAAAAGTACATGGATTATATTGTTTTGGTCTTTGTTTATTGTATGTGCATGTGTTCTTCTTTCTAGCTATTATAAGCTCTTGAAGGACTGAGTATCACCTACTTGGATCTCAGTCTCAGTTCTGCTGATTACCAGAATGTGACTCCAGACACTTTCTTTTCCTGGGGCTTCAGTTTCTTCACTTGTAAAATGAAGAGTTAGCTCCCTAAGGTCCCACTGAGCTTACTTATTCACGGTTAGGGGCTTTTTAACTTTGCATCATTCTTAATTCAGTTCAGCAAATGTCTGTTAGTCACCTGCTGCGCAGTCCCGTTCTGGGTAGCTGGGAGAGAAGAAGCACATACAGCAATCCCTGTATTATGTAGCATATGCCAGGGAGGTTGGTCCTGGCTTCTATGCCTGGGGAAAGGCTGCGTCAAAGAGCCAGCTTTTGCATCTAAACTTAGAGAATGGGTAAGGGTTCAGGAGTGGGGAAGGAAAGCAAGAGAGAGCTAAAAGCCTTCAAGGCCACCTGGTTTGGAGCCCTTAATTTATAAGAAAACTACGGTCTGGATTGCTGAGTGGCTTGCCTAAGGTCACAGAGGTACACGGTACGGTCAGGATTTGAATTCAAGTCTTAGGAGTCTACATTCACCATGGTTTTCACTCACATTCCAAGCATATGGAATGGCATGAACAAAGACCCTGAAGCAGGAAAGCATACAATGTGTTTGGGGGAGAGCTAGTTATCCCATTTAGCTGAAATATATAGTACAGAAGATGGAGGTAGTATGAGATAGAAAGGTCAAGTGGTTCCTATTGGACATTACTAGCAAATGAATTGTAGGAAGCAGTAAAGAACCACTGAACATTTTTGAGCAGAACAGTGACATGACAAGATCTGTACTTTAAGTATGTAGTAGGTACACTAATTGGAATTTAATAAGCACTAATTAACGATCTTTGTAAAGTAAAAAGACTGTGAAGGGGAAGGGCCAGGGCCATCCCCCATCCATCTTCCATTTTAGCAGAAAGGACTTAAACATTTAGTAACTCCCACAAAATTCCCATTGTTTTACTAAAGGCTACGTTGGCTGTTCTCCTGCTCCACCCCCACCACACCCCTGTCCCTCACTATCATAAAGTAGTTACGTTATAGTAATTGGCAGAACTGAGATTTGGGACCCAAGTATAGTGATACTCGGCTCCTTGAAGAGTTTATAGTATCATTCAGAACATTCATAAGAGGCCTTCGGCTAACTCTTCTTCTTTTTTTTCTTTTTTGGTGAGGCAATTGGGGTTAAATGACTTACCCAGCGTCACAGCTAGTGAGTGTCAAGTGTCTGAGGCCGGATTTGAACTCAGGTCCTCCTGACTCCAAGGCAGGAGCTCTATCCATCTACCTGCCCCTAGCCTATTCATCCTGCCTAAATCAACTCACAGCTCTCCAGTCTTTTGTTGAGGGGAGGCAAGGAGAAGAGGTGATCATACTAAGAGATTCAGAGTTTTGTTTTCCCTTTTCTAGTAGGCCCTGCCATCTTTTGTCAAATATTTGACCAGTTGCACACCTTTTCCACATGTTAAGATTTGCTCTTTGTTCTCAAGGAGAAGATAAAGCATAAAGATGACTAGTTAGTTTAGACAGTAAATGTAATAAATGTTCATTACCTAAATGCTGTAAGAGTTCCCAAAAGGAAGAAATTAATGTAGGCAAGAGAAGCAGGACTTGACAGAGAAAGCAGGACTTGAACTTCATCTGATGCTCTTTTCTGGCATATTAGAGAGCATGAACCTGGAACGTATCCAGAAGTTCAGCTGTTGAATAAATATTTATTAAATACCTTCAAGGTATTCTGATAGATACTGGTGATGCAAAGGAGTGAATAAGTGAGAGAGACTGTGGAAATGGAATAAGTTTTTGATTCCCTAAAATTGAAAAGTTTTTGCACAAACCAATCCAATGCAGCTAAGACTAGAAGGGAAATAGTTAACTGGGGAACATCTTTGCATCAGGTTTCTCTGATAAAGGTCTTATATCCAAAATGTATAAAGAACTGATTCAAGAATCTCAGCCATTTTCTACCTGATAAGTGGTCAAAGTCTATGAACGAGCAGTTCTCAAGGGAAGAAACTGTATCTATGCTCCAAGTTATTAATATATTTTTTTGAAGAGGCAATTGGGGTTAAGTGACTTGCCCAGAATCACGCAGCTAGTACATGTTGTGTGTCTGAGGCTGAATTTGAACTCAGGTCCTCCTGACTCCAGGGCCAGTGCTTTATCCACTGCACCACCTAGTTGTCCCCAAGTTATTAATAAAGAAATGCAAATTAAAGTAACTTTGAGGGTCTACTTCATATCCATCAGATTGACAAAGCCAACAAGGAGAGAGAGGCTTTGGGAAATCAGGCACAGTGATGCACTATTGATAGAAATGCTTCATAGTCAAGTCATTTTGAAATCAGTTTGGAATTGTACCCTAGAAGTTATTAAACTGTGCATGCTCTTTGGCCCAGCTATTCCATTGAATATATCCCTATATATCCCAAAGAGGTAAGACAAAGAGGAAAAGGTCCTATAAGCATAAAAATATTTATAGTAGCCCTTTTTGTACTGTCAAAGAACTGGAAACTAAGGGATTACTCATAAGTTGGAGAATGGTTAAAGTTATGGAATATGAATGTAGTGAAATACTATGTGTTCTGAAAAATGAAGGGACAGCTTTGAAGAAACATAGGAGGATTTGTATGAACTGTGAAATGAGCAGTACTAAGAGCACAATAAAAGCAGTATTGTTAAAAAAAAAAAAAAAAGAATTCTTAAAGATTTAAGAATCTGAGTACTGTAATGATCAACCACGATCCCAGAAGACTGATGAAGAATACTTCCCACCTCATGACAAAGAGATGACAGACTACTGTGAAAAAATAAGAAATACATTTTGATCACTGTGGGAATTTGTTTTGTTTGATGGTGCTTATGTAATAAGGGTTTTGTATTTATTCTTTTTTCTAATGGAGATGTGGGAAGATGAAAAATAAATGCTTGATAATTTTTTTTAAATTGTAAAATTTTTTAAATTTCCTGTGGTTCTTGGAAAGAGATGAACTCCCTGCCTCCCATCAATTCCCTTCTACCTTATTCCTAGGGGAAAATTCCCAGAGCTCATTTTATCCCTTTCTTACTTTGAATCTACAACCTCTACTCCTTAGACCTCACAATTTGGTTGCATCTTGTTTTATGCATTGGCCATTTTGTTTTACATGATCTGTGTGTATGTCATATTCCTCTACTAGTCTTTATGCTCCACAAGCACAGGAACTGTGTCTGACCTTTTATCTTCCCCAACACAGAGCTCTGCACTGCACAGGTGTTTATTGAATTGTATTGAATGAGTTAAGACTGGTTAACTCAAGAGGTTAGAGTATAGTGCTAATGGCACAGGAGTCATTGATTCCATTCCTGCACTGGCCATTGTATTTAGGGACTTCTGCTTGGCATAGGAAGACAGAACTAGGAACAATAAGTGGAAGTTGCCAAGAGATTTGATGTAAAAAAAAAACTTCCTTAACAATTAGAACTATCCAAAAGTTGAATGACTGACCTGTCAAGGTAGTCAATTTCCCTCCCAGGAGGGGTTCAAGTAGAGGCTGGATAGCAATTTAATGAATGCTATCAAACTCAAATAGAAATGGATCCCTACAGGTCCAATATTGACTTGTGATTTTCTAATCACAAATTAACAAACGTTATCTGTGTTTTATTGTAGTCTTATTTACTTTGTTAAACATTTCCCAGTTACGTTTTAATCTGATTTGAGGGGCATTTGACACCTCTATTATAGAGGACATTCCTGCTCAGTTCTAGGCCTCTAAGATCTCTGATGCTATGAATTAATGGTCCTTCCTCTGGCTGAATATATTGAAATTTCTCTTAGGATAGATATTCCTCATCTCACTGACTTATCTGTTTCCCCGTTAGTTGAAACAATTTGCTATTATTTAGGCCTATTCTATGCCATCATTTTCTAGTTGAATTTCTTGCCGCTAGACTCACATTGTCTAGTTGCTCTCCCTATTGTTTTGTCACCTTCTTCCCCTCCCTGTCCTTTAGTCCTTTCTTTCCTAATCCTAGGAAACTGCTCAATAGATTGCTGCTGGCACAAAGCTCCCCATATTACCTGATGATGGTCTCCAACCCAGGTCATCATCTAGCCCCAAGACCTGAATAGGGTCTAGAGTGGCTTACTGAGCCTTGTGTCCTTCCCTGATTGCTAAGGGAGAGGATCTACCTGATTAATGACTCATCCTTCTGCTTGCTCCCTCCTGGGTCTGTAGCTGGTCATGGAGTTCTGTGGTGCTGGTTCTGTGACAGATCTGGTGAAGAACACTAAAGGAAATGCTCTGAAGGAAGATTGTATCGCCTACATTTGCAGGGAGATCCTCAGGGTGAGAGACAAAGCCCTCCCTTTCCTTTTTCCCCCACAACCTGTCTACTACCCCAGTCTATACTTCCTTTTCCCTGAGCACCTCTGTGGACAGGGTTTTAGAATAAGCACTAAGGGGGGGCTCCTATTTTGGTGAGAGGGAGACAGCCCCTCTACCCAAGGGGTCATCCCATTCTTTTCCAGAGTTCCAGCTCTGCTGTACTTCTAACCTACCAAATGCAAGTGACATAAAAGAGTGTTTCCTGTCCCAGCATGCCTCTCCCCCTATATTTCCCACAAGTCTGGCTTAATTGTCATTCTCTAAGGTAGAGAATATCCAACCTGTACACTCAGTTCTGCCTAAGCTTGTCTTCTCGCTGTTTACTTTACCACCTGCTGTCTGCTCAGTCCCTCTCCTTCCTTGGCCCTCACCGGCACCAAAAGCTCACTTTTTCCCCTCTACCATCTCCAGGGGCTGGCCCACCTCCATGCCCACAAAGTGATCCATCGAGATATCAAAGGCCAAAATGTGCTGCTGACAGAGAATGCGGAGGTTAAGCTAGGTATGGAAATCTCTCCTGAGGCAGTTGGTAGATGTTCTTCCCTTGTCTTAGGACAGGCTAGTAGAATAGTTCCTTTCTCATTTGAAGAAGAATCATAAAGTCTTCCTCTTCCTCCTCTGTTCTGAGGCAAACCACCAATGTCCTTTAGAAGCCCAGGCCCTCTACTCTTTCCTCTTCTTCATATCTTCCCTTTACTACCAATGTCTATTCTTCCATTTGAAGAAGTTGGACATAATGAGTAATCCTTTCAGCCAAAGCTGTCTCATGTCCCCCTCCTCCATGTTTTCCTAGATACCTGAGGACCTCTCCTTAGAAATCAGATAAAGTGTAGCACACAGTACTTAAGACAAGGTCAGGCACACAGGATGTTGTATTACAGTTACTCCTTCTCCTTACCTCTTCCTAGTGGACTTTGGGGTGAGTGCCCAGCTGGATCGAACAGTGGGCAGGCGGAATACATTCATTGGTACCCCCTACTGGATGGCCCCAGAGGTTATCGCCTGTGATGAGAATCCTGATGCCACCTATGACTACAGGGTACTAGCTGGAGGCCTTAGGGAAAAGAATAAACTGAAGGGCGGGGGTGGTGCCTGGGAGAGGGGGGATAACGGGACTGGAATTGAGAAAAGAACTATTGAGGTAGGTAGAGATTGGAGGGGTTGGATGGGATTGGACAGACTGAAGTACAGGACTCACGGAGAGAGGAAAAAGAATATAGATTGGAGAAGAGAGTGGGCCAAGAAAAGAATGGTAGTAAGGTTGAAAAGAGGGGCCCTAGAAATAAATAAATGTACAAAGATGTAAAAATATGTATGTCAAGGGAGGGGGATGTCACGGAATAGGAGCCTTCATAATTTTGGCCTTTCCCTTGCAGAGTGACATATGGTCTCTAGGAATCACAGCTATTGAGATGGCAGAGGGAGCCCCCCGTGAGTAATGGGGAAGGAAGCAGGGGCAGGGCAGTAGCTAGTGGGAGGAGGCAAGTTTTAGGTGGGAGGGACTCAAGGGGAGGCTAACACCAACTGAATCCAAAGATAGGCATGCTGGGAGGGGATTATTAAATCGTTAGAACAGGGATAGAAGGGGAGATGTGTGAGGACTTGTGGTCCTTCTCACTCTCCTAGCTCTATGTGACATGCACCCCATGCGTGCCCTCTTCCTCATCCCACGGAACCCCCCGCCGAAGCTGAAGTCTAAGAAATGGTAGGTGCCTTTAGGAAATGTGGGCTCAGCAGGGGAGGGTGTGAAGATAAGACTAGAACCTCCCTTCCATCTTTATATATTTAGAGTTGAGTAAACCCTAGAGTGTGAAGAGCAGCATGGGCCCCATAACCGGGTAATGCCGTGAAGAAAGGGATAACATGAGAACTTTCAAAACCTTAAAGCACTAAATTAGTGAAGTAGTATTAAGAATTAGGTAGTTTGTTAAAGTGTGTTTGAGTTTCTGAGGATACTGTTCATTCAGATTTGTCAACTTCTGTCCCCAATTTGAGGTCTGGGGTCCCTTCCTTCCCAATATATCTCTTTAAACATTTTCAGGTCTAAGAAATTCATTGACTTCATTGATACATGTCTCATCAAAACATACCTGAGCCGCCCACCCACTGAGCAGCTTCTCAAATTCCCTTTCATCCGAGACCAGCCCACAGAGCGACAGGTCCGAATTCAGCTTAAGGACCACATTGACCGTTCTCGAAAGAAAAGGGGCGAGAAGGGTCAGTAGGGGAAATGGGGGTGAAGGATGGGGATATCCCTGGAAAATTTCAGTGTCCAATTATCTTGTTCATTATCATGACCAGCCCTGGGCTTTCTTTGCTCAACAGTCCTTAGCTCCTTCCCTGCTACTCTAAGGAATGCCCAGTCATGAGCTTTGAACTCTAGAGACCCCTGCGATCTTGTAGGATTCTTAACACCTAACCCAGGCCAACTGCTGACTCAGCTCCATGATATCCTGGGTTTTTGCCTTGGTCCCACACTTGAGGCCTCTATGTGGAAGAGGGTAGGCAGCCAAGTGCAGAGCTAAAGATGGTCTCCCTTTGATCTAGCCCAGTATTTATCTGATCTTATCAGGTCTTCCTAGGTTAGGGTGAGGGGAACTGCATGGGGCAGTTGAGGAAATCAGTAGTAATTTCTCCCTTGCAGAGGAGACAGAATATGAGTACAGTGGCAGCGAAGAGGAAGATGACAGCCACGGAGAGGAAGGAGAACCAAGGTAAACTGGCAGAGTGGGAAAGGGTTATACCTTAGGCTCATGGGAGAGGTAGTGGTCTTGTAGAACATAGGGGAGCCCTAATCTTAGGAAGCTGATAGAACAGAACTGTAAGCAAATCCATAAGTGCTGAGAGAATGTGGAGTGAGTTATGAGGAAGGGTTACCAAGTAAAGCTTCCTGGAGGGAGAATTAGTTGATAGCAGTTGGAAGGAGAGAAGCAAGATGGGACAGATGGGATGAACAGGACCCACAAAGCTAATATCTCAAAGAACTTGGATTTAAACCTATTTTATGATTCTTTTGTCTCCACATCCCTTGCTCTTTCCACCGCACTATACTAGAGCATAAGGTGAAGGGGTGAGGACCAGAGATTTAACTAACTGGAATGAAGATTCAGGGGCAAGAAGTGAGTCCTAGGAGATGAAGGCTCTTAAATTAGGAAGGATCAAGAGAAGAGGGACATGTAATGAAGGGGAGACAGAGAGAGAGAGAGAGGAGTGTGTATGTGACGAGTTTCATCTTTCCTTTTTCCTCAGCTCAATCATGAATGTGCCTGGTGAATCAACGCTTCGACGAGAATTCCTTCGTCTTCAGCAGGAAAACAAGAGCAACTCAGAGGCCCTGAAACAGCAGCAGCAGCAGCAGCAGCAGCAGCAGCAGCTACAGCGTGACCCAGAAGCTCACATCAAGCACCTCCTCCACCAAAGGCAACAGCGGATTGAGGAGCAGAAGGAAGAGCGTCGGCGTGTTGAGGAGGTTGGGGCCGAGCCCTGGGATGGAAGAACCAGTGGAGTGACGGTTGGGCTGGGCTGTTTGTGCTCTACTTAGTCCACATCCTACCCTGCAGTCTATCTGATCAGCTCCTTCATTATCAGTTACCATTATTCAGCCTTATTATTCCTTGAGTTATGGGGAAGGGCATTTTTTTCCCTTGGGTCTCAGTCTCTGAAATTGTTCCAGAGACAAAGGGTGGGACTTGAAATCTAGATCCCATTCCTGTTGTAAGCAGAGGTAGCAAAGGTAGGAGCCTCAGGTTACAATACGGGGATTACTGCCTCATTTCTTTCTTAAGATTCCTTTTTCCACTGTTCTCCATTAACAAAGAAAATTGGCAGATGCTTAGTTTCATCTCCCTCCCTACTGACCCCACATGACTTCATTGCTGCATTACCTGCATTCTGAGTCATATAGACCCCTTACAGATGCACCTCACTTCAATTTTTAAAAATTGACTTTTTTTATCATCCATATTCTATTTCTCCATTGATTGACAGTGTCACTGGTTGTCATTCAATAATTTTCTTCCATTTTAATATCTTAACGTTCCTTTGCCCCTTCCTAACCATCCCAGTCAGTTGTCTTATTAAGTGATTAGTGATCTGTAAACACTTAATAGTACTTTAATTATCATTTCCACCGTTAATATTAATAATAATTCCATGTTATGAAAGATATCACCAAGAAAAATATGTGATGATAAAAGGAATTAGGCCAGTTATGTGGGTCATGTGATGCGAGTGAAGGAAGACAAATGGACAACCAGAATTCTATACCCATGAACTGTAAGATCTGGAGAGATGCCTCCCACATATGGGATGGCTCTTTTGTGGAGTCTCTACGAAAGAGCATGAGCAAAAATCATACCCACTGAGAAAGCCTGGAAGCTGCTCAGCAGGGATATCCTGATGATGAATTAAAGCAAGACTGGCACCCCTGGAATTAGAGAATAACAGTTATATTTACACAGCACATGAAAAGGGTTAGAAAGGTCTTTATTCCATTTTTGACAGATGAGGAAACTAGGGCATGAAGAAGTTAAGTGATTTGACTGTGATCACCCAGATAGTGTCATGGCAAGGACTTGAATCCAAGTCTCTGGAGGAATTGTCTCTTTAAAGAAGTCCTGCCTGAATGCTTCTATTTTCCTGATGTGAAAACATATAGTCTGGTTCACATACCAATTTGGACTAATTGGGGGAAAGGCAAGTCTGAGTTAGTGAGAAGTTGGTGTTTTAAAAATAACATTTTTATTCTATACCCTGTTACAAACTAATGGCAAAAAATTGTCAAGGAGAGATCTTGCCACTTGTGTTTTTTAAAGAATTATTGAGGATCATTTGTAATTATCCCATTAATTGCTTCTAGATAAATAGGCTTAAGTCATTTTAGGACCATCAGAATTTAAGGCTGAAAGAAACCTTAGTGATTATCTAATTCAGTTCTCTTATTTTATGGACATGGAAATTTAGACTAGAAAAGATAAGGGATTCCTTCAGATGACACACAAAGCAAGTAGCAGAAGTGGCTTTCATTCTAGTTTTTTTGATCTATTACACCAGCCTTCCAAAGTAGATTGTTCTTTTAAGTCCACACAGGCTAACACTATTAATTTTCTTAGCAAATATTTTCTTCCTAGAGATCAAAAAGATATAGAATTGAGCCTTAGTCATCAGAAATTCTAAATGAGTTTGGACCTGATTAATGAGGCTTTACTGTGGTTCTCCCGTCTTTTTGTGCCTGGTGTCTTTAAAGAGAATGCTTTCCTTGATCTTAGAGCCTGTTCCACGTGGTCTTTGTGGGTGTCCTGATTAGGAATATTTTTGGACATTGCCCGTCATCAGGATACAGAAGTCTAACACTAAAGTTTTCAAACTCCCCCCCCCCCCAAGAATAACCAGTATCTCCTCAACCCAAAAAGAAAGGAAATAATTGCTTGCATTCCCTCCATCTTAGCCCTCTGAGATCACTCAGTGTTTGGATTAATTCTGTAAAAGTGAGTCTAAATCTGCCTCCCATCGATGTTTAGAATTAGTCTCCAGTATTCTTGGAGGGTTCCTTGAGAAAGAAAATCAGGGCTCTTCCCATTACTTGACTTAGCTAAGTTGATGTGGGCAGTATCTAGGCTCATATAGTCTTGGTTGATCTCTTCCTCTCCTCCCCAACCCTACAGCAACAACGTCGAGATCGGGAGCAGCGAAAGCTGCAGGAGAAGAAGGAGCAGCAGCGACTAGAGGACATGCAAGCCCTTCGAAGGGAGGAGGAACGCCGTCAAGCGGAGCGAGAACAGGTACGGTCCCCCTATGCACACGCCTGTGCACACCCCCCTGGCTTCTGCTGTCCACTTCCCCTGCTCCCCATACCTCCTTTCCTATCCCCCTGCCCCGCCCCAGGTTCTTCTGTCTTTTTTCTAGCTTCACTATCTCTTTCTTTCTCTCTGTGTGTTCTCTCCTACCACCCCACCACCCCCTTACCCTTGGCTCCCTTGTCTTCCCCTGTCTCTGTTTCCTTTTCCTAAATTCTCTATATCTTCCTGGCCCATCCATTCTGACCCCTTCTGCCTGTTTGCTTTCTTCTTATCCCCTACTCCTTTTTTCTTGCATCCCCATCACATTACCTTTACTATCCTATTTCCCCCCCATCCTCCATACACATATCCTCTCTCCTCTGTATTCTTTTTCTCCTTTCCTGTCCCTCCACCTCCTGTCCTCTTGTTTCCCTCTCTTTTCTCTCCTGCTTTTGTTTCCCTGCCCCCTGCCCCCTCCCCCCCCCAGGAGTATATCCGCCTAAATTGGAGGGAGGGCGGCGGCAGCTTGAGATCCTTCAGCAACAGCTGCTCCAGGAACAGGCCCTGCTGCTGGTAATGGGGTCCTTCATCCACTACCTTATTTCCTTTTGGGACGGGTGGTAGGGTGGACTTCAGGGCTTCTTTGCTTAGAATAGGAGATGGAGACAGGGAAAAGGTTCCAGTGAGACTGCAGGGGAGAACCACCTCTCTAGGCATTTGGAAAGAAGAGAGCCTTTGTTTTCTCCAGCCTCATGAGGGCATCCCTAATCCACTACTCCTTCAGTACTGAATCTCCTTTTCCTTTCCCCCACCATGGCACTAGGAATACAAGCGAAAACAGCTGGAGGAACAGCGACAGTCAGAGCGGCTTCAGAGGCAGCTGCAGCAGGAGCATGCCTATCTCAAGTCCCTGCAGCAGCAACAGCTCCAGAAGCAGCAGCAGCCACCGGCACCAGGAGACAAAAAACCCCTGTACCACTATAGCCGGGGTGCTAACCCTGCTGACAAGCCAGCTTGGGCCCGAGAGGTACCCTTCTGAATTCTCCTCTGACCCTCAAGCAGCCAGCCCGTAGGGTCTTATCCGCCACTCCCTAAGACTTGGGTTCTGGTCTTTGTCCTTGGGGTCTGATGAAAGGACTGAGGGAGTTGTGGAAAGGAGCCAAGAACTAAAGAAAAGGGGGGGTGGTGAGGAGGGGAGGGCTGGGGTTCTGTAACCATAGGGAGAAAGGGGGGGAAGTAGAAACAGATTTTATTCTGACACCTGCCCCTACCCACCTCTTCACAGGTAGAGGAGAGGACAAGAATGAACAAACAACAGAATTCACCCCTGGCCAAGCCTAAGCCAAACAGCACAGGACCAGATCCCAGTCCCCCACAAGCCCCTGTTGGGCCTTCTGGCCCCCTTTCCCCAACCCCACCTATGCAGAGGCCTGTGGAGCCCCAGGAAGGACCACACAAAGTAAGTCTTAACCTTCCCCTACACACACACACACACACACACACACACACACACACACACACACACATACACTCACTCACTCACTCACTCACTCACTCACTCATGTGCACGACTCCACGAGATATAGCTTACTTTTACAGATACCTTCAGATGCTAGTAAGTGCATAAGGAGACTTATCCAGATATACCTACAGATATACATAAAAACACAGAACTGTTTCTGTGTGTTTCTTTTTCTGCTTTTGCCATTTTCTCACACATAATAAATACCAAGAGCCCCAAACTATCAGAAGGGTAATTTAGAGGGTGAGGGAGGAGGAGGAGGAAGGAGAAAGATACTCTAGATAGAAGCCAGAGCTCCTGCCCCAGGCTCACTCCTCCTTCCTTTCTTGGCTGGGTGGAGAGTGTGGATAAACCACAAAGGTTTTTTTTCCCTTCTTTTCCTGCAGAGCCTCGTTGCGCATCGGGTCCCACTGAAGCCATATGCAGCACCTGTGCCCCGTTCTCAATCCCTACAAGATCAACCCACTAGAAACCTGGCTGCCTTCCCTGCTGCTCATGACCCTGACCCCACTGCCCCCCCACCCACAGCTACTCCCGCCTCTCGTGGAGCCATCATCCGACAAAATTCAGACCCCACTTCTGAGGGTCCTGGCCCCACACCAGCCCCCCCACCTTGGAATCGAGCAGACAGTGAGGCCCCACCTAAGGTAAGTGTAGCCTTGAAGCTAATCCAGCACGCTTTCCCAGGGAAAGGAATAAAGGAACGGCAAGAAGAGAAGAAGAGTGGGAGAAATAAGAAGTAAGCAAGAAAGAGTACAGGAAAGGAAAAAAATAAAAATGGAAGGTGGAAGAGAGGTCATAAGGAAGGATATATATAGATTCATTCAGCTCAGCCTCCATCCCCTCCTTCCTTTCCTGTGCTGCCTCTGACACTTCTTACCATTCTTCAGGTTCCCCAGAGGACCTCATCCATTGCCGTTGCCCTTAACACCAGTGGAGCTGGAAGTTCCCGGCCAGCACAACCTGTCTGTGCCAGGTAATGGCCATGCTGGAATGGGCTAGGGGATGGGATATAGAGGACATGCTGTCTCCCACTTGGGGGTGGAGGAGCCCAAGCCTAACCATCCCAGCCTCCCCCCCCCCCCCCGCCCCCCCCGTGCTCCCCTCCCCGACCCCGAAGCAACTCCGCCTGGCAAACCTACCTGCAAACTCAGGCAGAGTGGGTGACCCCTGGGCCTCCAGGGCCCCCCTACTCAACCCCCCAGCCCACCCAACACCAGTAGGTAACGGAGTTGTCACCCCCTCACCCCTCCGTACATGGTAATGATCACCCCACCATGGTGCTGGTTCCCTCAACTATGCTAATTCTACAAACTGAGATAAGGAAAGATTGACTTAGTCCCTCCTCCCCTAACCCTTACATCTGTCACAGTAACCCAGACCTTCGAAGGAGTGAGCCAGGCTGGGAACGTGGAGACAGCATCCTTCAGTCCCATGGCCACTTGCCACAGGCTGGCTCACTAGAACGTAACCGAGTAGGAGGTGAGGCCCCTAAACCAAAAGGAGTTGATGGAGGGGAAAGAAGGGAGGGGTCATTGTGGGAATAAAGTATAGCTAACGAGATGGCAATCAAGGGAATTAAAAATCATAGCCATCTTCTCCATTGTTGTCAAGCTTTTATGTAGACAACATGTAGCAAAGACCTAGGCCCTGCCATAAGTAATTTTCTAGGCTGAGACCAATACATGGATAGCTGTGGGAAATAGGATCCTGTGTTACCCTCTGTGGGGCTAGGAAAGATTGTGGTAAGAGGGGGAGTACTTGAGAGCCTATTTCAGCTTTAGCAGGGATTGGGATGATTAAGAGTCAGCATGGAGTAATGGAATACAAAGTAGTTATCCCTATTCCCACCATCACTCTCTCCTTCCTACCTACTCCCATCTCCAGCATCCTCCAAGCTGGACAATTCTCCCATCCTGTCCCCAGGGAACAAAGTCAGACCTGATGACCATCGCTCTAGGCCTGGCCGGCCTGCAGTGAGTAATGTCATTGGCAGATGCTGCTCTCCCAACCACAGGGTTTGAGGAGTGCATTATGAGATCTGCTGAACCCCTCTTGGGAGCTAGTAACTCTAGGGGCGGGAACCTATAGGATTGAAATGGGGGGACCAGAACTGGGACTGGTAGTCAGAAGGCTTTTCCTACAGTACTAACCTCTTTTAATCTCTCTCCTATTTCTGGCTGCCTTTCTTCCTCTGGGATTCCCCTCAGAGCTATAAGCGAGCAATCGGCGAGGTTAGTGCAAGAGACATATTGTGGCAGGGGTGTGGAACCCCTGTTTCCCACTTTAGTACCCTTCTAATCTTGAGGACTAGCACCCCTGCCCAGCCTCCTCGAATCCTCCTCTTTTCTCCAATTAAGGACTTTGTGCTGCTAAAGGAGCGAATGGCAGATGAGGCCCCCCGGCCTCCCAAGAAAGCCATGGACTACTCATCTTCTAGTGAGGAGGTGGAGAGCAGTGATGATGATGAAGAGGAAGAAGGAGATGGGGACCACTCTGAGGAGAGCAGGGACACTCCCGGAATTCGGTACAGGAGTGGGTAACTGTAGGGAGGGCAACTGTATAGAATCAGAAATAATTATGGAAGAAATGGGAAGGAAACCTCAAATAGCTGTGTTAGGGGAAGAACAGAGATATAAGGGTTTTGGAAAAGCGATGATTTTCTCCGTTTGAAGGAGTGATGACCACTGCCTTGGAAATAGTTGATTACTTCATTTGAATAACTTTTCATACTTAAGTGTCTTTTCATATGGTCCTTATCACACCTTGCCCTGAATTGTAATTATTTGTGGATGTCTTTTCTCTTCACACTCAACAAACATTTATTAGTGCCTACTTTTTGCAATGCGCTTTATTTTGTGACAGGGATATAAAAATAGATATGATGCCGGTCATGCTTTCAAGGAGCTTACAATGTAATTGTGTATATTGGGGGTGAGGAAGACATGTACCCCCAAATAATTGTGGTAAGATAAGTGCAAAGAATAGTTCAGAATGCTGTGAAAAACCTGAGGAAGGAAGGGTCACTTTTACTCTGAGTGGTGGGGGACATACTGGTTCTGAGAAGGTTTCACAGAGAAGCTAGCACAGGAGTTGGGTCTTGAGCTTAAGCTTAAAAAGAGGGGATCTATAGGGCAAAGGGTAAGGAGGGAGAGCATTTCAGGCATGGGGTCTGCCAGTGAAAAGGCACTGAAACAGTAGGTGAAAGGTTGTGTGCAACAAAGAGGCTTGATCCCAGAGTCTCAGAATACAGAAGAGGGGGTTGATGTCTAGGGAAACTGGAAAGATAGGTTGGGGCCAGGTTATGTAGAGCTTTAAAAGCTAAACAGGGGGTTATGTTTTATGCTAAAGGCAAAATAGGAATCAGGATAATCACATGATCAGATCTGCACTTAAGGAAAATTACTTTGGCAGTAGCATGTAGGATGGACTGGAGTGGTGAGAGATTTTAGGGAGGGAGGTCAATTAAGAGGCTGTTGTAATAATCTAGTTGAGGAGTGATGAGGGCCTGAACTAAGGTGGTAGCTCTGTGAATGAAGAGGAAGAAGATAAAAGAAATGTTGTGAAGGTAGAAATGGCAAGATTTGGCAATTGTTTGGATATATGTGGGGAGAGAGAAAGAGAGGAGTCCTTGGTAAGGTATAAAACTTGGGAGACTAGAAAGATGGTGGTACCATCTACAGAAATGGGGAAGTGGGAGGGTTTAGGGAAGAATGTGAATTCATTTTGTGATATGTTGAGTTTAAGATGTTTCTGGGACCTCCAGTTTGAAATGTCCAATAGACAATTGGTGATATGGGGCTCATGGTAAAGACTTGGGGTTAAAACCATGGGAGCTGACATGGTTACCAGGAGAAAGAATGTAGAAAGAGAAGAGAAAAGGGCCTAGGACAGAACTTTGAGGAATATCAACAGTTAAGGGATGGTGATGAGCTGGCAAACGTTTAACAAGGGGTCATCAGACAAGTAGAGTTGTTGTCACGCAAACCTGTAGAGGAGAGAATATCTTGGTGGTCAACACTGTCAGATGAAGTAGGTTGAGAAAGATGAGAATTGAGAAAAAGGTCAAGGGGTTTGGCAATTTAGAGATAGTTGATAACTTCAGAGACAGCAATTTCTGTTGAGTGACGAAGCTAAAAGGTAGTTTGAGAATCGATAAGTGAGAGACATATGAGCAGAGGTACCAAATATAGACAGCTTTTTCTAGAAGTTTGGCTAAGAAAGGGAGGAGAGACATTGGACAGTAGCTTGAGGAAATGGTAGGGTCTAATAAAAGTTTTTGAGGATGGAGGAGAGTTGAGCTTCTTTGAGGCAGTAGGGAGGGTATCAGTAGTTAGGGATAAGAGAGAAAAAGAACAGTAATGATTCAGTTTTCTGGAGAAGACGGGAAGACAAGAAGGGATGGAAGAGAGGACTCTCACAAAGAGGTTAACCTTGACAAGGAGACAGGTATGTCTGGAAGAAAGGAAGAGGGAGTGAGACTTATTTCCACAGAGATAGAAGAGGGGCAGAAAGGAATCCATTCTGAGTATAGAGGATCACAGAGACTAAGCTATGAAGATGGTAGAATGTAGGAGTCCCAAGAGTAACATGAGATAAGGCTGAAAGATAGATTAGATCCAAATTATATAAGGGACTTAAAAGCCAGAACCAGGAACTTGTACTTAATTAATTAGGCAGTGAGAGCGGGTTTTGAACTGAGTGCCATGATCAGAGAAGTGAGTTAGAAAGATAACTTAAGTGGTAGTGTGCAGGATAGATTGTAGAAGACAGAGCTGGAGATAGGAACAACAATGAGGAGGCCGTAATGATATAGGTTAGGTATGAGGCCTGAACAGAGGTAGTTAAAATGGGAGTGGAAAGGAGAAAAATGTGAGAGACACTTTAAAAAAAATTGCTGTTGACCTTTTTTGTTTTTACATCAACCACATTTTTCAGTGTTTCTCTCTCCTTCCCAGAAGATCATGCCTTATAACAAAAAATTAAAAATAGTTCAGCAAAAATTACCAAGGTATCATCCAGGTCCAATATTATATGTAGTGTTTCACACCTGTAGTTCCCCACCTCAGCAAAGAAGGGAGAGAGATATATTCTCCTATCTCTCCTTTGGGACCAGGCTCAGTCATCATAATTTTGCTGCTTTTGTATTTTATTATTTTGAGTGACAAATATTTCAAAGATAAAGTCACTAGAATTTATAAACTGATTATGTGGGGTAAGGGAAAGAGAATTGTTAAAGATGACAGTGAGGTTAGGAGTTTAAATAACTGAGACCATCAACAGAAATAGAAAAGGGGCATGAAGGGTGGAGAATTTAATGTGAAACTTACGCTGAATTATTAGTGCTTCTGCCTCTAGGTGGAGATATTGAGCACACGCTTTATATGAGCCCTGCAGTAAAGGTTAGGGGTAGAGACATATTTGGGAGTTTTGGGCAGAGCCATATTTATATAATATGGAAATATTATAATAATAATGGAAGTCTATTTATAGCCTGCATTCATTGTCACTCAATATTTGTAGTATGAATGATGTTGGGATTTTAAATGCAAAATGCTTCTTTCAGAAAGAACTTGTGAGATGGGTGGACGAAAATGGACACCCTTGACTTCACTACTTTTCCCTAACAGTGATGGAGACACGGATAGTATCAGTACCATGGTTGTCCATGATGTTGAGGAATTGTCTGGGGCCCAGACCCCCTATGGAGGAGGCACCATGGTGGTCCAGCGGGTGAGTTCTCCTCCTACCCAGTGCTTACCCAATTCACTTCCTGGCCAAGCTGGCACTGACCTCTCTCCTCCTTCCTGCAGACTCCTGAGGAGGAGCGGGGACTACTACATAGTGACAGCAATGGCTACACTAACCTGCCTGATGTGGTCCAGCCCAGCCATTCACCCACTGAGAGTGGCAAAGGCCAGGGCTCCCCAGCTAAAGATGGAAGCAGTGATGTATGTGCAACAGGGAAGAGGGATTGTAGAGGGTCCAAGGAGAGAAAAGGGTATTTTGGAGCAAATGCCACAGAAAGGGGTGAGAGAAATCTGGAATGGGAGAGAAACTTTGAGAAATCCAAATCTGGGGAAGAGGGAGCATTTGGTAAGGAATATAGAATGCTATGGTAGAAATCCTGAGTAGAAATCTGTAGAAATTAAATTCTTGCTTGTTCAATTCTGCCCACATCATTCTGTCTCCACAGTACCAATCTCGTGGCTTGGTGAAGGCCCCAGGCAAGAGCTCCTTCACTATGTTTGTGGATCTGGGAATTTACCAGCCAGGAGGCAGTGGGGACACTATCCCCATTACCGGTGAGGATAACAAAAACATCATTACCATCTCTGAGGAGAAATACTATTGCTTTTGTTGTTGTTCAGTCATTTTTCCGTTTTGTCTGACCCTTCTTAACCCCAGTTGGAGTCTTCTTGGCAAAGATGCTAGAACGGTTTGCCATTTCCTTCTCCAGCTCATTTGACAGATGAGGAAACTGAGCCAAACAGGGTTAAATGACTTGCGCATGGTCACACAGCTAGTAAGTGTCTGAGGCCAGATTTGAACTCAGGAAGGTGACTCTTCCTGACTCTAGGCCCAGCACACTCAATCCACTGTACCACCCTAGGGAGAAACTAACCTGAGACATTGGGAAAACATAGGAGATAGGGAGACCAATAAAGGAGAGAAGGGACCATTTTTCTTATCCCAATCATCATTCTTTCATCCTGAAGCATTTTTGTCAGTGTCAAAAGAAGGCTTTGGGATAAATTTATCCTGAAACACTGGAAAGATGGTGGTACCATCTACAGAAATGGGGAAGTGGGAGGGTTTAGGGAAGAATGTGAATTCATTTTGTGATATATTGAGTTTAAGATGTTTCTGGGACCTCCAGTTTGAAATGTCCAATAGACAATTGGTGATATGGGGCTCATGGTAAAGACTTGGGGTTAAAACCATGGGAGCTGACATGGTTACCAGGAGAAAGAATGTAGAAAGAGAAGAGAAAAGGGCCTAGGACAGAACTTTGAGGAATATCAACAGTTAAGGGATGGTGATGAGCTGGCAAAGGAGTTTAACAAGGGGTCATCAGACAAGTAGAGTTGTTGTTACACAAACCTGTAGAGGAGAGAATATCTTGGTGGTCAACACTGTCAGATGAAGTAGGTTGAGAAAGATGAGAATTGAGAAAAAGGTCAAGGGGTTTGGCAGTTTAGTGATAGGGATAAATGATTGGGTCTAGAACAGATCTTTAGGGATGCAGTAAGGTATAGCGGGAAAAGCAGTTTTCCCTTTTTTTTTTCCCCTCATCTGTAAAATTAGAAGGTTGTAGTAGCTAAATTTCGTAGACCTAAAATCCTTTCAGATCTGTTTAAATCTGTGGTCCTGTTTGGGGTCCTTACCAACTTCTTCTCTCTCTGCAGCCCTGGTGGGTAGAGAGGGTGGGCGGCTGGAACAGTTGCAGTATGAGGTTCGAAAAGGCTCTGTGGTCAATGTGAACCCCACTAATACTCGACCCCACAGTGACACCCCTGAAATTCGAAAGTATAAGAAACGATTTAACTCAGAGATCCTCTGTGCTGCCCTGTGGGGTAAGTATAACTGGGAGAACAGAAGATGCTAGACCTAAGCTGGGGAAATCTATTTATCCCTGGCAGGGGGTGAAATAGGTTCATTTATTAGTGGAGTAGATAAATAAGGCCCAAATAATGATGTCTTTGCCTCCTTAATTAGGTTTGCCAGAAGGGAGAATGTGATTCCTGGGGTATTGGTCCTAACTTAGAAGTTGAGGGGAAGAAAGACCCCGTTCCCCTCTCACTGGGTGATATGTGGCTTTGTGCTTCAGGTGTGAACCTGCTGGTAGGCACAGAGAATGGATTGATGTTGCTGGATCGAAGTGGGCAGGGGAAAGTATATGGGCTCATCGGACGGAGACGTTTCCAGCAAATGGATGTCCTGGAAGGACTTAACCTGCTCATCACCATCTCAGGTATTTAAAGAGTAGGTAGGATGGAGAGACAACTGGGAGAAAGGGCTGGAAGTGGGAAGGAATCAACTTCTACCATCTTAAGTACTGTGGATTTGAGCTAAAGAAAGAATTAAACCCGCTCATCAAATCCTGATATTGGCAAAGGAAGGGAGGGAGGAAGGTTGTAGGGGTGGGGGCAGAAGGAAGTGGAATGAATTCATCAAGTGCAGTAACATTGGCATAGATGGGGGCAGGGGAAGGACTTGGGCTCCTCAAAAGGGTGCATTTCATGTACCACCACCAGGGAAAAGGAATAAGCTTCGAGTTTACTACCTATCCTGGCTCCGGAACAAGATCTTACACAATGACCCAGAGGTGGAGAAGAAACAGGGATGGACTACTGTGGGGGACATGGAGGGCTGTGGGCACTACCGAGTTGGTGAGAGGGAAATTTCACTGGGCATTGTAAGGGACAGCAAAGGGAGGACTGGTACCATGTCAGCAGTGGGAAGATAAAAGGGAGGGGAACACAAGAAGTAAACCCTGTCCTATTGGAGGGATGGAATAGAGGGGGGTGAACACTACCTACCACATGATGAGGATTTCACTCTGTGCTGAAGATCTCAGAGGGCTTGAAGTAGAAACATTGGGGAACCATTTGAAGGAGACTTGGGAAGGCAGTTATAAAGGTGTGTATTCACCTGACTGTTCCCTTCTCATACAACACCCCCACCCCACTTTCCTCAGTGAAATACGAACGCATTAAGTTCCTGGTAATTGCCCTGAAGAACTCAGTGGAGGTGTATGCTTGGGCCCCCAAGCCCTACCATAAATTCATGGCTTTCAAGGTAACACCTGCCAGCCACATTCCTTCTGTTCCCCCAAGTCCCATATTCTCACTCTGAATCCCCCACTCCCTCCCCAATTTTTCTTTTACAGGGCTTTTACTGTTCCCTTCTCCCCATACTCCCCATCTCCAGCACCTCAATCTTGTTCTCAACTGTCCACTCCCATTCCTCTTGCCTCTTAGCCCCAGGCCCATTTCATCCTCTCCATATCTTCCCAGCCCCAGCCCCTTCCCCATCCCATATCCACTCCTCGCCCTGAATTGCCCTGTCCCCTTCAGTCCTTTGCTGACCTCCCTCACCGGCCACTGCTGGTTGACCTGACGGTGGAGGAGGGGCAGCGGCTCAAGGTCATCTATGGCTCTAGTGCTGGCTTCCATGCTGTTGATGTGGACTCAGGGAACAGCTATGATATCTACATCCCAGTGCATGTGAGCTCATGGGGAAAGTTGTTAAATCTTTAAGGGGTGTAGGGGCCTTAGGAGGAAGCAGAGTTAATGTTTGGATTTAATTACTTCTTCTCAATCCCCTGTAGATCCAGAGCCAGATAACCCCTCATGCCATCATCTTCCTTCCAAATGCTGAAGGCATGGAGATGCTTCTTTGCTATGAGGATGAGGGTGTGTATGTTAATACCTATGGCCGGATCATCAAGGATGTGGTGTTGCAGTGGGGAGAGATGCCTACCTCTGTAGGTGAGCTTCTTAGACCCTTGCCCAAAGTCATCCCACCCTTCAAGTTGTTCTCAGAGCTTAGCCCAATCTTCAGCTCCCATTCCCTCTTTTTCTCTCCCTAGGAGCTACATGACTTTTCCCTAGAAGTTTCCATTCCTAAAATATCCTAGGGAAATAGGGATGGGGGTGGGATGCCCTAGATAGAAGGGTTTGTATTGTAAAATAGGACCAGGCCACTCCATTGTCTTTGACATTCTCTTTTCCTCCCTGGAAGCCTACATCTGCTCCAACCAGATCATGGGCTGGGGTGAGAAGGCCATTGAGATCCGCTCCGTGGAAACAGGGCACTTGGATGGAGTCTTCATGCACAAGCGAGCACAGAGACTCAAATTCCTTTGTGAGAGGAATGACAAGGTGGGAGTTTCATGGACCTCTTGCCACCCCTGCAAATGCCACGACCACCTTCTTTTCCTTGCATGATAGAATAACGTCCCACGAGGCCTCTGGTCAATCCTTCTAGGGAAAACAGAGCTAAAGGTGAGGGAATTGGAGTTCCAGAGATGGGTCACTTCAGTGATTTCGGCTCCGGCAGCCTGCCAAGTGCTGCCCAGAGAGAGTTTTAGCCCCACCCCACCCTCCTCTGGCTCACTTTTGTAAACCCAGATGATTCTCTTCCACACATACTGCTAGGCAGAAGAGACCCTTTCACCTCACAGGGAGCTCTGTTCCTCTTGGACAGCACATACAACCACCACTGTCCCTAATCCATCCATTCCCTCTGTTTCCCCAACCTGCAGGTGTTCTTTGCCTCAGTTCGATCTGGAGGTAGCAGCCAAGTTTACTTCATGACTCTGAACCGTAACTGCATCATGAACTGGTGATGGGGACCCCAGGCTGAGTAGGGGTAGGTGGGGTATATATCCATACTGGACATATAACCCACATCTCACCCCCCTTGCCCCCAACAACAACAAAAATCCAGGCTTCCCAGGCCGCTCCCTCCCTACCCTCCCTGGGCTTTTGCTTTTTTTAGTTTGATTCACTGGAGCCTGCTGGAAACGTGACCTATGACCCCTGAAGCTTTTTGTGATCACGTGACCTCCCTTTTCCTGCTCTCTCAAAATGTTTTCTCTTAAAAAACTGTGCCTCCCCACCCCCCACCTGTGGGTAGAGGTACAGCTCCCTCCCACCAGAAATTATTTGGGAACCAACCCCTTTCCCCCCTCTTTCTCCCCCCCCCAAAGAGGAAAGTGCTTGGGGATGCCTCCCTTCATTCTACTGCTGCTGTCTAGGGCAGAGTCGCAGGGCCCCTTTTTTTGCACGCCAGGGGGACTGACTCCCCCAATGAATGTACCAGACCCTGGGGGGGGTGGCATAGAGACAGGGGTCACCAGTCACTCCAGGGGAAGGGGGGAGATGGTCCGTGGAGACCATTTCCTCATCACTCTCTGAAAGCACTTTAATCATCTCCCCCCCACCTCCAGGGAATGGGGAGGGGGGCTGCCAGCCAAAATATTCCTCCCCCTTTCCAATATTATCCCTCCTTTCCTCTCCTCCAATGCTCTTCCTTGATGGGGGGGGCCATGGGGCTAGCTACTGCTCTCATCTAACCCACCATCCCCACCTTGCTTGCATTTGTATATAGTGTGAGCAGCAAGTAGCCCCCTTCACCCTATTCCCTGCCCCCAATCTCAATGTAGTGGCCTTGGAAACCTCATTTGTTAATAAAGACAGAATTCAACCAGCTTCTCCTATTCCCATTGCTTTTTTACTCAGGGAAACCAACATTAGAATTACAATTACAGAAATATATATGTTCAATAATTAACTCAATAATGAAGAGGCAGTGATTAGAATAGACTCTTAAGATGAATGAAACAAAACACTGTTCATTCAATAAGGGAGTTAGCAGAAGCACGTTTTATTGAGGGGGAATATGAGACGGGGGGCAGTCAAGGAAGATGGAAACAGGTCAGGTCCACTGTCCGTCCTGTGCACCAGTAATGCTCACATAGTGGGTTTTGTAGAGTTGTCTGGGTCAAGCAAGATGGGCTATTTTTTGGTTGGGGAGAAGGGAACTGGGAACCTAGGCTTGGTGTTAAGGTCAAGGTTAGATGGTTCAGTGGATGGTGTGTAGAATCGGTTGACCTCAATTCAAATCCTGCCTCAGACACACACTACCTGTGTGACCCTGGGACAAGTCACATAACCTCTCTGTACCTCTGTTTTCTTCCTCTTTAAAATGGAGATAATAGTACTTATTTCATTGAGTTGTGAGGATTATATGAGCTAACATGCAAAGTGCTAGCTATTACTATTATTGCTGGTGTTGATTCTGGGGGGGGGAGAGGAAAAAGGAAATGCCTGGGAAACTGGTAGGGTAGTTAACATTCAAACTCCAATTCACTGGGAAAAGAGACTTTAATACAGGCTAAATGGCCTTACTTTGGTCATGATTCAGGGGATTTTGTGGGAGACCAGGGGCTGGAGGAGCCAGGGCTGCTTCTTTTATGGGGCAGGAGGCTGCTGAGGTCCTTATATCATAGAAGAGGAAAGAGGCGTTAGTGTGAGTCATGTCAATGGAACAAAAATAACTAAAGAAAGGAGACTGGGGTCAGCACAAATCTAGAAGTCCAAGAAAAGTTTTGGGGGACAGGAAAGTGAAATGTAGGCAGCCTCCTTTTTACTTGGGCCTTGGTGACTACGGTCACTGAAGGGTTTTTTTTTTTAATTTATTTATTTTTAGGTTTTAACGTTCACTTCCACAAGAGTTTGAGTTCCAAATTTTCTCCCCCACTGAAGGTTTTATTTCATGATGGGACTAGCCAGCAAAGGTCAAGACGGAGACCCATCCAGAGTGGAAGTTGAGTCTTAGGGTTATGTACTTCCTGGTCAAAAGGGAAGTCTACATACAAGGAGGGAAGGGCAGGTCAGGCACTCTGTTCAGATGACCCCCAAGAAAGATGAGGCCTGTGCCAAACCCAAAGAGCACTAGGGCTGCCCAGAAGCAGAGGTTGTCCAAGGCCTTTCCCGCGAGGACCCAGCTGGAAACTTCCTGAAGAAGGGGTAACAGGCACTGAGTCTGGTCTTCCTAAGCACACAGACTCAGCCAAGTGACCCAGCAAAGTTCAAAGCACACCAGTGACACAAGCCTTCCTGCTCTTCCTCCCACTAGCCACTCCATCTCTGGGCTCTGGGCATTTTTTTCTTGCTGTCCTTCATGTCTGGATCTCTCTCCTTATTTCTGGCTTCCTTCAAGCTAAAGTGACGTTTTCTGCAAGAAGCTTTTGCTAACGCCCTTAATGCTAATGCCTTCCCTCAGTATTCTCTCCAATTTATCCTATGTCTTGTTTGTACATAGTTGTTTGCATGTTGTCTCTCCCTTTAAACTGTGAGCTCTTTGAAAGTTTTGCCTCTACCTACTGTCTTTGTATCCCTAGTGCTTAGCACAGTGCCTGGCTCATAGCAAACCCTGAATAAATGTTTGTTGACTTGGTCCTAAACCTTCCCTACCTCCCCAGAGTCTTCCTGCTCCCGCATGCTTTCCGCTAAGAAGTTCACCGCGTCTACACAGCAACGAATCTCTGATGCGGCAGCTCCTAGGCTCTGACACAATGCGGCAGTGGAGGCAGCTGAGAGAGGGAGGAAAACGGGCTATTTCGGACCCTTCCAGACGCAAACCTCTCCCACGTCCCTCGACCTCTAATGACCCTGTCACCTGGCCCTGGCCCATGCCGATGTCTCTGCCCTTCAAACAGCAGCTCACTCCGGGGCTTTCTCAGGATCAGTTCCTCCGCACGGAGCAGAATTCCCAGGGAGGAAGCCCTACGTTGGGAAGAACCCGCTCCTGGCGCCGGTGGCGGTGGAATTGAACCCAAAAGACGGGGCAACAGCTCTAAGAAAACCTGGGGGACAGTATATCCGCGTAATTTCTCCAATCCGTCCCATCTTTTACCCCTAACCCGCCTCACTACACCCACCTATATACACATGACCCATAACCCCCAAAGGCTTACATAACGTAACCGAGGGGACATAACATGAGTGTTGGGCGTCCTTAGGGACACGTTGAGCACGATGACGCAATTCATGACAATCAGTGCGGCTACCACCATGACGAAAATGAGATACCTGAAATAAGGGAGACGGGGTGGCTAGTGTCTTCATTCTTTTTGTATCCAACCCAAGACAAGGAGAGGGAGGGAAGAAGTGTTACAACTCTGTCAATCCGTAGATGACATCACAATCGCGACCGGCTAAATTATAATCCCACTTTTGTTACCTCAACGCCGAAAACTTAAACCAACATTTCCAAAAGGCACTTGCCAGCTGGGACAGCTCTACGTCAACTACACTGTCTCATGCCCTCTTTCCTCCCTCAAAATGCAGTATTTGTGTTTCGGGATAGGATATGACGTGACAGCCCTAAAGTTGTGTTCCTTAAGGAGCCGGAAGCCTCCCCCCCCCATCAGCTCCTTCCACGTGAGAGTCACATAATTGCCCCACATTCTGACCCTACCTTAGAGGAACGGCTTCATCTATGCAGGGGTCCTCGGGTTCCTTCGATGCTCTGCTATGGGTCTATGGCTACCCCAGTTCCACGGAGGTGAGGGCCCACCAGTGAGCCCAATCGTTCTCTGGCCCCTTTGGGCTCCCATAGCCTTTCTTTGACCCTTTAATTGCCTTGTTTTTTCCTCGGCCCCTAAGTTCCTCTCCCCAGTTCTAACTAGAGTTCACATCACAGTGACATCCCTCTTTTCCTAAAGCCCATTCATCCAAGCCCAGCGGCAAACCCTTCAGGCAAATGAAGGGTTTGGTTGTAGATGATGACTAAGATTCCTTCCAACTTTAACATTCTATTTTAGGATTTATTCAGTGATTAGCGTGTTCTGACCTTGGAATGACTTTATAATCTGCGGATGGCCCTCAATCCCGAAATCAACCCTCTGATGACTCTTTAACTCCCCGTCCACCAAAGACATTCTTAGTGACTTCTCTCATCCCAGCACCAGGTGGACTTCCGGCCCTCACTTCTATGCTCCCTGGAGTTGGCCCTGGCTGCAGCCCATGAATATCTGGAATTCGGGCTGGAGAAGATGAGGCCTTTAGGGCCTGGGGGCCAGGATGGGGAGGAAGGGGAGCTGCCAGAGTGGGAAAGAGTGAAGCTAGAGTCACACAGCTCCCCAACCTCTCCAGAACCCTCCCTGGGGCTGGTGCTGAGAGAGGCTATGGGAAGTGCCTTGAGCTTTGGAACTACCTTGCTGCAGGTGAGGTGTGAGGAGGAAAATGAAGGGTTGTCTCGTCAGCAAGAAGACTGACCCTGGGGGGGCTATGTGTAGGGACCGTGGGAATTTGCTGTATTCCCTGCCCTGGATTCTCAGATCTCAGCCCTGTGGCTACAGCTGGAAACTCGGCGCCTCTGTGGCTGCAGCGGCCACGTCCACAATCTGAGCTCGGGGAACCCTGGGCACCCGTTGTCCCGAGTGGCGTTGGCTGCAGGGCGGGGCGTGAGAGAGGCGGGAGCCAAGGCCAAAGCTAGCGCACAGCTACTCCTCCGTGGGGCACGGTTCTGTTTGCCAGTAGGGTTGAGATTTACGGGAATTCACACTGCCCCAGGAAGACAGCTTCCCTCCTACGGCCCTGGCTCATTGGGCTGGGCAGCGGAAAACGTGTGAGTTAAGATTCGACTGCGAGGCCTGCATGTGGGGATGTGGGTGAGAAGAAACTTTGAGAGCAAGGTGGAAGCAAGGATAAAGTGGGAGGGGGATATTCTCCAAATCTGGGGTCCGTGGATCAGTTGGAGATACTCAGTTAGCCACTCCTTTAACAGGAACACTGCAGAGGGCTCGAGATGAAACAGAGGTGATGAAGGGTATCTGGGGAACTGTTGACTCACCACCAACCCAAATAAAGCAGTGAAGAAAACCAGGTTTTGTACTTTTCTCTCGTTGCAACCCCCTCCTCACAAGGTTCTGCCTTTCCCGCCCCCTGACTCCGCCCCCTTTCCTACAGACTCAATTTTCTCGCCCACCCGGAGACAACTGTTCTCCCAGCTTTCCTCTTGGCTCATCTTTTCACTTCCCGTCCCCCTCTCCCTTTCCGTTGATCTCTGTTCCTTCCTCCTGGCCTTATTCTCTAGGCTCAGATCCAGCCTCTTGCCCCACTTACCTCCCCAACAGAGGGACACTCAGAGAAGTCTCTGGGATTTTTGTTGCCATGAGGAACAGGAAAACAGTCTGGGCTAGGAGGACTGAGATGGAGACCGTGCACTTCTGCCCACCCGCTGAAAAGGATTGCGGAGTGAGTTCTGGTTCTGCTTCTCCCTCCCCCCCCCACACCCCCCCCCAACACACACACCTCCCGACTACCCCGCCCCACCCTGTCTCCATACGCCAGGGGCTGCTGGGGCTAGCCTTAAGCTATGACTGAGTGGAGCGAAGAAGGCCATCTCCAGCAGTGGGAGAATTCGTGTGCAGCTTTGTGAATGAAGCCACCTCCCCTTGGTCCCGTTACCCTGGGCGGGAAGGAAGTAGACTAGGAGTACGAGGCCTGAGATGAGAACGCAGGGCACGATGATATTGATGATGTAGAAAAGGGGCTTCCTGCGAATGATGAGCGTGTAGATAACCTCAATATTCCCTGGGGCATCCACTGAGCGATCATCATGGTACCAGATCTGCCCAGAACAGAAATCGATGGCCCACTCGCCATTCTCTGCGGATTAGGGAGATCAGTCAGCCAATCCTTGTTTGCTGAACATCTGTAGCCACCTTTGTCACACATGCTTTAGGACTGTGCCAGGAGTAGCGATTCAGGGGATACAGACAGACTGAACCCACGTACGGCCCCATCGAGCAGGAAGCTTTATTGAGGGTGGACGGATGGTGGAGACAGATCCAGTGTTTGTGAAAGGATTAGAGCATAAAAATGAGTGCAAAAGACCTAGATCTGTAACAGTGGAGAGAACTCGAGTCTGGGAATCAGGAGATTTGGATTTGAAAGTCTTCTGTCACTCACTAATAATTCCTGCTTGCCTCACAGGGTTGTTAATGATGATAATCAAAAGAGGCAGCCTAGGGGAGTGGAAAGAGCACTTGTTTTAGAGTCAGAAGACAGGTTTTAGTTTGTTTAACCACTTTTTAGCCTAGCTGTGTAATCCCTGGGCAAATCACTATCGACTATCAAGCGTCAGAACTGGGAGGGATCTTAAAGATTTAGTTCAACTTCACCACGGAGGGGAAGGGTTCTGCCTGAGGTTACACAGTATAATCGCTCTGAATTTCAGCTTACTCTTCTGTAAAATGGGGGGGGGTTATAATGACATTACTCTGAATCTTCCAGGGTGGTTTTGGGAGAAAGTACTTTGCAAACCTAAAAGTGATATCGAAATGTGTTAATAGAGCTTTTAAAATTGTGAGTTGCTAAATTGCAGGCATTACTTTATAGAACAGGATTCTAGTAATGAGTCTATGTTTTGGAGAGATCCTGTACTCAGCAGGCCGTTAAAGTTTGTTGATTTAATCTAAGTGCCCCTAAAAACCTTCTCTCCTCCAGCCTCCTGAGCAGCTCCCTCTTTCCACTCCCTCCCCTCTACTGAGAAAAGAAAGGCAATAATTCCCTGTGAGCTCCTTTATAAGTTACCTCTCAAAACCCCTTGATGCTCTCCCCCATTCTTTCCTCTTTTACTCCACTCTCTGGTGGACAGGTGACTTTTCTTCTCACCAAGGTTAACCCCTCTACTCAGTGATCCTACCACTTCAAACTGCATTAATATATAGAGATACATATCCCTTCTTCACAAATTCCCAATGAATCCAATTCCTCTTTTATTTTTATTACTTATTATTTTATTAATATATCACCATGTATTTATAATTTAATTATTATTAGTTTATTGTTTCATGAACAAAAAATTCCCCTTTACATGAACTAAAAAAGCATAGTTAACTCCCAAACAAATTCTGTTTTCCACCACCATTGTAAAACTGAATTTCTATTACATAGTTTTTTAAAGTGTATATTACATTTAACACTATTGCCTGTACTGCCCTGCTTGTCCATGTCTCGTTCTGAACTTCCTCCTTGTCTCCTCTGTATATTTTAAATGTTTTACTTTCTTTTCTTTTTTTTTGCGTCACTATTACTACCACCAACTTTCTCACTTCTCAACCCTTTGTAATCTTCCTTCTAATCTTCATTATCACTCAACCAAAACTGTTCTTTCTAAAATCATGATCTCTTCACTGCCAAATCAAATGGCCTTTTCTCAGTCTTTGTCTTTCTTGACCTCTCTACAGCATTGGACATTGTTAATCACCCTCTCCTTCCAGAAGGTTTCTTGCCTTTGAATTTTCAGGGCATCGCTCTTTCTTGTTTCTCCTCCTACCTGTCCAGCTACCCCTCAGACTCCTTTGCTGCATAATCAATAGGCCATGTCCCACTCCTATCTTCTCTCTATACTCTCTCCCAGTGATTTATCTTATCAACTCCTGTGGGTTCAATGTCATCTCGAAGCAGATTACTCTCAGATCTAGTCCATTTCTAAACTCAAGTCTCACATCCTCACCTACCTGGAAGATATTTCCAAAAAGAAGTCCCATAGGCAGTGTGGTAGAGCAGAAAAAGCACTGCATTTGGGAGTCAGAGCACATAGGTTCAAATCCTGGCATTGCCACCTTGTGACTTTGGGCAAGTCACCTTCAGGACCTTAGTTCCCTTTGCTTTAAAATACTGGGATTGGATTTGATTACCTCTAAGCTCTATTCCAGAGCTAAATCTATAATTTTACCATTTTGTATTCAAAAGAGAATTCATTTTTTCCTCTAAAAGCTACCTCTTCCTTAACTTCCCTATTTATGTCAAGGGTACCCTTCACTCAATTCACTATCTCACTCTCTCTCTCTCTTTTTTTTTTTTTTTGCTTGGGCAATTGGGTTTAAGTGACTTGCCCAGGGTCACACAGCTAGTAAGTGTCAAGTGTCTGAGGCAGGATTTGAACTCGGGTCCTCCTGACTCCAAGGCAAGAGCTCTATCCACTGCTCCTCCTAGCTGCCCCTCAAGGTCACTGTCAGAGAGTCATCCTTTACTCCTCATTCCTATTTTCAATCACTTTCTAAGTCTTACAAATTCTGCCTTCTCAAGATCTCTAGAATATATCTCTCATCCACTCACAAAGCCACCATTGTAGTTCAGGCCTTTAGCATCTCAGCAATAGTCACCTGGTGTGACTACTGAAATAACCTCCACACTGATCTTCTTGCCTCCAATCTCCAAGACTTCCTCCAATCCATCCTCAGCACACAGTTGCCAAAGTGACCTTGTCACTCTAAAGCCCTAGAAGCTTCAGCATTCCCTCTCTGCTCAAGGAAAAAATACAAACACCTGTTTGGCATTTAAAGTTTTTCACTATCTGCTTCCAGCTTATTTCTTCCAGGTTTATTACAGGTTATTCCCCTTTACATACTGGACTAAATGGCTTACTCACTACACCTCTATCCGTCAGTGGTGAAGTGGATAGAGTGCTGGGCCTTGAATCAGGAAGACCTGAGTTCAAATTTAGTCTCAGATGCTAGCTGTGACCCTGGGCAAATCATTTAACATCTGTCTGCCTCAGTTTCCTCAAATGTGAAACCTAATTCGAAGAATTGTTGTGAGCACCAAATGACATATTTATAAAGTGCTTAGCACAGTACCTAGAACATAGTAGGTGGTTATTATATACTTATTCCCTCTCTCCCCCTTCCTCACACAGAACATTCCATCTTAAGGCTCTTTGCCTATTTTTAGATTCTGAACTTATACACACACACAGAGTATTTCTATACACAGAACAAAACACAAAAATACCATTCTTTATGAAATCATTAATCGATGCAGAAACAACTGTTTGCCCATGACTGACATGCTCTCCCTCCTCCTCTCTGCCTTTCAGAACCCCATGCCTCCTTCACTGTTCATCTGAAAGGTAACTTTATACAGGAGGAACTTTCCTAATCTTGTCAGCTCTTAGCCTCTCCTCCATTTGTTGTCCCAATAGAATGTAAACTGCTTGAGGGCAGGACTGTTTCTTTTTTGTCTTTGTATCCATATTGCTTAGCACAATGCCTGACACATATTTGTTGATTGATTGACCACGCAAACTCTATTCATTAAACTCCAGTGGCTTCTATTTAGTTTTTCTTTCCCAAACCACTTTGCTTTTATTTTATTTTTTTGGGGGGGGCGCTAGGCAATGGGGTTAAGTGACTTACTCAGGGTCACACAGCTAGTAAGTGTCAAGTGTCTGAGGCTGGGTTTGAATTCAGATCCTCCTGACTCAAGGATGGTGCTCTATCCACCTAGCTGCCCCTTAATTGTTTTTTAATTGGTGTTATCTTTACATTCTGTATTTATTCTCTTAATTCTATTGGCTTCCTCTCCATTATTCTTATTTATCCTATACAGGAATATACCCTATATTCCTACTTATCCTTGCTTTGCATATATTTGTATGTTGTCTCACCTAATCTAAGCTACTTGAGGGTAGGGACTGTCCTTTGCTTCTTTTGTATCCCCAGAGCTTAGCACAGTGCCTGGTACATAGTAGGCACTTAATAAACATTTCTTAATTGGTGTACTTAGCTCCACTATTAGAATGTAAACTACTTGCAAATAGGGATTTTCATTCTTTGTACTTGCATCCCCAGGGTCCACCACAATCCGAGGCCCTTAGTAGGCACTTAATAAATGCTTATTGATTGAGTGATTTGAATTAACATCATTTGTTCCCATAAACGGGACCCTTTCTATAGCAGCATTCCCTCCCCACCGTCCCTGAAAAGCCCGAGTACTGGACTGTTACCCGTATAGGCCTTCTCATCGATCTGGATTTTGTCTAGAATCTGGCCAGACTCCTCCGAGAAGACAATTGCCACCTCTGCAGCGCTGTACGTCTGAGACCTTAGGAGGGAGTGCTGGAGAATGCGTCAGTCCCTTCCCCATGCTCCCTACCTATAGTCCACACCCTAGCCCGGTTCCACCCTCTCAACACCCCCCCTCCCAGGGCTCGCCCCCTTCAAGACCCCTACCCCTCACCCTGGCCATACCGAAAAACTAGGGAGCAGTTTTGCCAGTCGAAGGGGAAATAGGTGACTTCCATTGCGCAGGTGCTGCGGTAGATGGCTGGGGGAAGCCAGCTCACAAAGCCTCCCTCATTCACCAGCACGTTGGCCTCATAGGCCACTCCGAACACGCCGTCTATGCTGTCAATACAGAGGGACCCAAGCGTCTGTCATACACCCACTGCTCCGCACCCCAACCCCGCTCCAGGGCCTCTTGTGACCCAATTCACCATCCTTCCGTAAGCCCACCACCGCCACCAAGGGATCCAGGAGTCCAGGCTCCCAGCCCCCTAAATACTCTCGTGTTCAGGTCCTGCTGCCTCCCCAATCCCTTCGGGGTTTCAGGTGTCTTGTTCTAACTTGTTCTCCAGCACGATGTCAGGGAGCCATACTAGGTTAGCAGGAACTCTCAGGGCTGTGATGCCCCCAAAGTCCTTACTGCTGTAGTTGAGTCGATAATCGCTCCAGTCCTGGGAGATTTGGGCAAAAAGGATGAGGTAAAGGCTTTATCTGCCTTGCAGCCCCCTGCTCCACATATCATTTAAACGGGATTAGAGTTTTCCCTCAAAGGTGTGAAGTGGGGACCACCAAAATCATTGTCTACCACAACCCTCTGCCCCCATCACCAAACCCCTACTCACAATTCCAATCCAAACACTGGTTGTGAGAGTCTCCTGTTTCTCATTCTTAAAAGATTGAGATGGAGAATAATAAAGGGGGAAGGAGATTAATGGAAGATCAGAGATGGAATCTGGGGTTACATAAAAGGGTTGGGGGGGAGGTGGGGGAGGGGTTAAGAAGTGGGGCAGGAGAAAGCTGAATCTTACCAATGAGATGAGGTTGGTCAAGGTGACCTTGAAATTGACAGAGACTTTTTCTTCTGGCCACCTCACTGGCCTTCTGGTAGAGTCATAGTTACTGAAGAGATGGCGATAAAGTCGAAGCTCTTCACTCTCCCCCCATCCAAGGCCTGGAAGACAGGACAGCAGGGGGGTCTTCTGAGAAGGGGCCCTGGGTCACTTCCCTACAACCAGTCATTTCTCTGCCTCTGTTTCACTCTATATCTTGTGCTGTTTTTCTCTTTGTTTCCCTGATTCTTTTTTTCTGGGACTCCCTTTTCGTTTCTGTTTCTGTCTCTGTCTCCCATTTGTCTCTACCTAATTGTGTATCTCAGTCTCCGTGTCTCTCTGTCTGTTTCTCTCTGTCCCTCCATCCCTCTGTGTTTCTGGCCCTGCTTCTGTCCCCATCTGTCTATCTCCTTCTTTCAGTCTCTATCTCTATCTTTTTATTTCCGTATCTGCTCTGTTACCACTGCCTCCATACCCAGAAGCCCTTGAAGAAGCAGCATCCAGAGCACTGGCACCGCCATCTGCCCGCAGACTCCTCCAGGTTATTCTGAGCATTGATCAGGGGTAAAGGGAAGGACCATCTTAGCCAGCTTGGGGGGGAGGGGCGTTAGTTCCGGCTGGAGCCAGAGAACTATTAACATTATCCTACTCCCTGCCCCCCACTCCCTACCACCTGCTCTGAACAGCAATGTCTTGGCTGCTTCCAGAGACAACTGTTCTCCTACTACCCTTCTTCCTCCCCTAAGTATCCCAGAATCCTTTAGTCTCATCCTTAATCAGAATCTTTGTAACCTACTAAATAAAATAGGGATTCAGTCCTCTCCCGACCGGGAAAAGATAACCTTCGTTCAAATTCTGGCCTTGCTGCTACCTGGTGGCAACTTGAATAATTCAAACAAATGCTTATTTTTATTTGTTCGTTTTTAACATTTCATTTTTTTTATTTTTAACACTCATTTTTTTAGATGCTGAGTTCCAAATTCTGAATTCTCCCCTATCCATTGAGAAGGCAAGCAATATGATATCAATTATATATGTGAAGTCATGCAAAACATATTTCCATATTAGCTATGTTGCAAAAATAAATAAATAAAAAGCAAGAAACATAAAGTGAAAAAAGTGTGCTTCAATCTGTACTCAGTTCATCAGTTTTCTCTCTGGAGGTGGATAGCATTTTTCATCATAGGTCCTTTGGAATTGTCTTGAATCACTGTCTTGTTCAGAGTAGCTGTCTTTCACAGTTGTTACAATATTGCTTACTGTCTATAGTGTTCTCCTGGTTCTGCTCACTTCACTTTGCATCAGTTCATATAAGTCTTAGAGGTTTGCCGTCACCCAGTTGATGGTAGCTATTGTTGTTCCATCAAGTCCAACTCTTTGTAACCTCATTTGGGGTTTTCTTGGCAAAGATATTGGAATGGTTTGCTTTTCTTCCTCCAGCTCATTTTACAGATGAGGAACTGAGACAAACAGAATTAAATGTATTGTCCAGGGTCACACAGCTAGTAAGTAAGTGTCTGAGGCCAGTTTTGAATTCAGGAAGATGAGTCTTCCTGACTTCAGGGCTGGAACTCTATCCATTGGACCACCCAGCTGACCCAATTGATGGGTATTCCCTCAATTTCCAATTCTTTGCCACCACAAAAACAAGCTGTTATAAAAATTTTTGTATAAATAGGTCTTTTCACTTTTTCTTTGATCTCTCTCAGATACAGACCTAGCAGTGGTATTGCTGGGCCAAAGGGTTATGTTGCACAATTTTACAACCCTTGGAGTATAGTTCCAAATTGTTCTGCAGGATGATTAAAACAGTATACAACTGTGCATTAGTGTACCTATTTTTCTTTTTTTTAAATCTTTAATAATTTTTAAAAATTTTAAACTTAAATACAAAATAAGAAAAGAAAAAATAAGATTGCCTTGTACACAGCAGAACATAGGAGAGAATTTGATATAAAACAATAAATTTTCATTTCAAGAAAGCCTTATAATAAATACTACTCATTGTATTCAATGAGCTTTTCTTTGCTTTCTTATAGGTTTTCTTTTGTTCTCTGCTGTGCACTTTTTATTTTATTTTTTTCTTCTCTCTGCCCCCTCCAAAGAAGGATACAATTAAGTGGATATATATACATAAACACATATATGTATATATACATGTACACACATGTACACATACACATATGTACACATATACATAGATATGTATAATAATACACACATATACACTCATACACCTATAGTAAGTCCATACCACACTTACCTCTACCTATCATCTGTTTCTCTGAAGGTGGAGAACATCCTCCTTCGTAAGTCCAAGTCTTTCCATGCTTTTCTAATTCAACCAGCTCATTTCCTACACCACAGCAATATTCCAACCCAATCACATTCTGTCTGAGAGATTGTCCATGAAAGCCTCTTCCCAATTTTCTGCATTCCTTCTATTTTTAGCTACATATATTTTACTTGTATAAGAAAACTTTAATTTAAAATAATCAAAATTATCCATTTTACACATCAACAATGCTCTCACCTTATAATGTGGTTTAAGGTCTAATACTACTGAATCTGTTTCCTTTACCTCTTTCTTCCCTTGATCACTTTGACATTTCTGACCCTTTGTTCTTCCAAATGAACTTTGTTAATATTTTTTTTCTAACTCAGTAAGACAATTTTTTAGTAGTTTCATTGGGATGGCATTACCTAAATAAATAAGTTAGGTAAAATTGTTTTTTTTCATTATATTGGCTTTACCTACACATGAACAGTAAATACTTCAATTATTTAGATCTTTATTTACATAAAATGTGTTTTATGTTTATGTTTGTATAGTTCCTGTGTCTATTTTGGCAAGTATACTCTCAGGTGTTTTATACTGTCTAGTTATTTTAAATGCTCTAAATTTAAAACAATATTGAATAGGATGGCTGACATACAGTGTAGTTTCCTTATTTTTCTCTTTTGATTAAATCTATTTTAGCTTTAACTTTGTCTGAAATCATGATTACTACTGCTTTTTTTATGTAATAAATTCTACTCCAGACCTTTATTTTTTTAATGTTTGTGTGTAATCTCTGATTTTTATAGCATTTCCTGAAAGCAACATATTGTTGAATTAGAATTTTTGATCTTCTATCAATTTCCACTGTATAGGTAAATTCATCCCCTCCACATTCTAAACAATAATTACTTGTTATATATTTCCTTCCTTCCTATTTTCCCTCACTGTCCTTCTCACCCTATTCCTATCCCTCCTCTCTCCTCTGCTTTGCTTCTACCCACTACCTTGCCCTCCTATTCCTTTATCTACCCACCCCTCCAAGAATCCCTCCCTTATCCTCTCCCCTCAACCCTATCCCCTTACCTTCTTGTTTCTTTCTGAATCTAGAAGACTTTTATACCTTTCTAGATATATATGTTGTTCCCTCTTTAACCTATTCCTGATGAGAGTAGGATTTCAGCACTATGGGCCCTCCCCCCACTATATTCTTATGTATCTTTTTTCCTTTGTTTGCCTCATTTGTATGAGATCCTTACTCCTTTTTATCTCTCCCTATACTTTTATTTTTTTTTTTAGACTCGTCCCATCATACTCAGTTCAGCCCAAGCCTTTCTTTCAGACTATGCAAATAAGGGGCAGCTAGGTTGCACAGTGAATAGAGCACTGGCCATGGAGTCAGGAGAACCTGAGTTTAAATCCAGCCTCAGACACTTGATACTTACTAGCTGTGTGACCTTGGGCAAGTCACTTAACCCCAATTGCCTAGCAAAAAACAAAAAGGAAAAAAAAACCAGACCACGCAAATAAAAATGGCAGTCATAAAAAAGCTGATATTTTCATATCTAAAAAAATAAACAATTTGACGTTATTATATCCCTTATAATTGGTCCTTAATGTTTACTTCATATTTCTCCTGGATGTTATGTTTCAAATTTTCCATTAAGTTCTGCTGTTTTTGTCACAAATACCTGAAAGTTTTTCCATTCATTAAATATCTTTTTTGGGGGGAGGCAGCTAGGTGGAGAAGCAGCTAGGTGGAGAAGTGGATAGAGCACTGGCCCTGAAGTCAGGAGGACCTGAGTTCAAATCCGGCCTCAGACCAAACACTTAACACTTACTAGCTGTGTGACCCTGGGCAAGTCACTTAACCCCAATTGCCTTTAAAAAGAAAAATCCTTTTTTTTCCCTTTTAGGATTATACTTAACTTTCCTGGGTAAGTTACCCATGGTCATAACCCCAGCTATTTTGCTCTACAAAATATAGTATTCCAAGACCTATGATCCTTCAGTGTAGTAGCTGATAGGTCTTGTGTAATCCTTATTGTAGCTCCATGATATTTAAATTTTTTTTTTCTTGTTGCTTCCAGTATTTTCTCCTTAACCTGGGAGCTTTGAAAGTTGGCCATGATATTTCTGTAAGTTTTCCTCCTGGGATCTCTTTCCAGTGGTAACTGGTGAATTTTTTCTATTTCTGCTTTGCCTTCTTATTCTAGAACTTCAGGGCAATTTTCCTTAATATTTTCTTATAATATTGTATCAAGATTCTTTTTTTAATCATAATTTTTAGGCAGTCCAACTATTCTTATATTATTTCTCTTTGATCTGTTCTCCAGATCAGTTGTTTTTCTGATGAGGTATTTCACATTCTCTTCTATTATTTCATTATTTTGATTTTGTTTTATTATTTCTTTGTGTCTTAGAACGTCATTAGCTTCCTTTTGCCCAATTCTAGTTTTCAAGGAATTATTTTCTTTCTTAAGTTTTTGATTCACTATTTCAAGTTGGTTGACTTTCTTTTCATAATTTTCTTGATTTTCTTGGATTGGTGTTATTTTCCTCAATCACTCTTATTTGATTTTTCTCATTGAAAAAGGAATAACTTTTTTAGCTCCATTATCTTCCTCTGAATATGAACCCAGATCTTCTCTATCCCCATAGTAGCCATCTATGGTTGACTTCTTTCTCCTTTGCTTGCTCATTTTTTTTTTGTTTTATTGTTATTACTATTATTTTTAGCAGCTATTAGTGTGATCAAGTTCTAGACCCGAGGTACGGGGAATAATACACCAAAGCCTCAGTTTTTTCTTACTGTTATTTCCTGAGGCCTGTCCTGGGACTCAGCCTTGGGCTCTCTACTTTACTCCTAAGTTACACCTAGAACCCCCGGTCATGTTGTCCCCACAAATGATCTTACTCTCTGCAGTCCCTTGGGAGGCTGCAAACTACAGCTGTCCTCTTATCCTTGGAACTGAAACCAGGGATTCTGCTCTCCTGCAAGTGCCCACAGCCAGCAGGGTCCCCACACCTCTGCTACTGCACTCACCAGATGTGTGCTAGCTCCTTCTCCCCACAGCAGCTGCACAGCCTGGGATGCATCTGGTCAGCACAGCTGTGCTTGGTTTTCCTCAACAGTGGAAGGTCCTTCAGTCTTCTCCTCCTCAGCTGTCAAACTCCCACACTGTCTGTAATATGAAAATTTCTAAGGCTGAGGCTGCCTCCCAACCCCAGCCGTCCCTAGGA